TGTTGCACATCATTTTTTTCAGCAAGCACTCTGCTACACTGCAAATGTGTCCCATAATTATTCTAATCATTTTTCTACATAAAATATCACATCAAACAGGGGATATCTCAATTTTTTAAGAAATTTGACCGGGTCTTTAGTACGAAACTATCCCCTGCCACCTTTAAAAAAATCGACAAAACGAACAAAAAAGGTGCAGTAAATGAAACTGACAATTCAATTTTTTATAGCAACTCATAAGTTTTTTCTTTTATTCATGATTAACAAAAAGTTCTTTTTCTGCCTGCAAACATTGAAATGGGTGTTTATTCCTTTTTCCTTCGTTTATAACGAAGGGTTAATGTCTGTAAAAAAGCAGCTGAAGAAGAGCAAAGCCAACAACTACATGTACAGTACTAAATATTAATACGACCTGATAGGTGTATGTCAGTTTACAGTTTAAGGTTGTTGCTAAAGACGGCAAAGCTTTTTGAAAAAGCTATACTTGTGATGATTTAATATTTATCATATTGATGAGAAAACGATGATTCTGATTTGCTGAAAATTTTTATTGATAACCGCATCAATAATATTTTCACGAATTAGCCGTTACTACAAAATGGTCGACATTACATATTCCCCCTTCCCGGGTACATTTTGAAATATATATGGAGGGGGGGGGGAGAATTCTATGAAGATGATGTTCTCGGAGTGTTGACTGACATTGTTTTTGATGTTATCTTATTACGTAAAAAGAAGAGAACAAGGGTGAAAGTAAGACCATCAAGTTCATTAAAGGAGAATAGACTTTACAAATGATGATAGACCTAACGAGCCGCCATTAATTCCTCGGTGCCTCGCTTTAAACTCTAAAAACTTCGATTTTTATTCAAAAAACTCATGAAAAAGTTTTGCCAGTCGAAAGGCAGAATGTTGTCCTTTATTTTCATAAATTAATCATTTACCTTACTTCATTAAAACTTAGAAAAAAATATTCGAATTTCCGAGAATTAGGACGTGTACGACTCGGTTTGTGTACGAAGTGACTGTAAATCCGCCGTCGTTAACCGTACACCATTTTTCATGCGATTTCCGTGCATTACCTTATTTTTTCCGCACTTGTCATTTGTTGCACTCAATCTTAGAGCAAAGTTTAAAAATGTAACTGCTTTTGGTCATTCTCACAATTATAATTTAAGGGACAGTTGATCGTCCGGCTCGAGAGATCAGCTCCATTTTCACCTCCGATTAGCCTCAGAGTTCAATCAGGTCAGCCATATTTGATTCCTTAAACAACTAGTAATATTATCCAATCATCTTTCACCGTTTAAACTTTAGTCATTCAGTGCGGATTTCATTCAATATGGTGCTTAGTCCAAAGACTGTAAAATACTTCAATTCTGTGTACCGTCTTCCTTGGAAGACGGTAATTAATCTTTTATATATGTACTGTAAAATTTGTCTAATTTGGATGTTGTGTATTCCGAAATCTTGCCTTTTATGATAAAAACTTTTAGTCCCTTTCAGTAAATTCAATTGTTTAAAATGTTGTCTACGTAACCATGCAGTGGTAGCACAAATTAATTTTACGTATGAATGCATTTTTAATGTCATTTATATGCTGATGACTGTTTGACAATCCCCAATCTCTTCTTGCTTTTCAAAGAAAGTTTTGAAAAAATCCTGATTACCAGTGCTACATATCAAGATGCATATCCCACTGCAATCAAAAATAATCCGACAATCTTGTCGAAGGACATTTATGCGTATGAACTACTAGTAATTATTATGGAAGAAACACTTTGCAGATGTGATTTATATACTATAAGGAATGAAAATGAATATTGTTGATAGATAAAACGTCGTCGATATATTTAAATGTTGAATTGAAGGCCACAGCAAGAGTCTTCTTTTCATGTAGAAGTTTTCGAATCAATTTTGCTTCATAAGAATATAAAAATAGGTCTGCTAATAAAAGGGCGCCATAAGAACCCATGGGAATTCCAAAAGATTGTTGGAAGACTTGATCTCCAAAAACTACACATAGATATTGTCAATCAGAAACTCAAACATCTATTTAATATCAACTACTGAATGTTTTTTAACAAAATAAATTTGAAAGTGACCATTGACATTAGGTAAGTAAATTTACGAGTTCCATTTTTAGTGAAAAAGCAGCTGTCTACGATGTCAAAAAGCCTTGACTTTAATTTATCGTGGGGAATGGTTGGGGAATGGTTGTATAAAGTGTTGAAAAGTCGCACGTTTTGATGTTAATGATTTTGATAAAATTTTGTGATTTCAAATTTTCTAAGCGTTCTTCGGACTTTTTAGCTCACCTGAGCCGAAGGCTTTAGTGGGCATTTCTGATCAAAATTTGTCCGTTGTCGCTAGTCGTTGTTGTCATCGTCGTCGTTAACTTTTTTACAATTTCATCGTCTTCTCCAGAACCACTGGGCTAATTTCAACCAAACTTTGCACAAAGTATCATTGGTTAATTAAAAGAAGATTCATGTTTGTTCAAATGAAGGGCCACGCTTTATTCCAAGGGGAGATAATTACGAATTAGTGAAAATTTGATGGCCACAGTGGGTGATCAAATTTTTACACAGGAATGCATAATTTATGAACAATCTTTAAAAAACTTCTCAAGAACAGCAAAGCCACGATTGGTCATATTTATATGGAAGCATCCTCAGGTAGAGTAGATTCAAGTTATTTCAAATCATGACCCCTCGGGGTAGGGCTTGAGCCACAGTGGGTGGTCAAAGTTTTACATAGGAGTACATAGGGAAAATCTTTAAAAATCTTCTTCTCAAGAACAGCAAAGCCATGGTTGGTTATATTTATATGGAAGCATTGTCATGTTGTGTAGATTCAAATTTGTTCAAATCATGCCCCCCCCCCCCCCCAGTATCCTCAGATAAAGAAGATTCAAGTTTGTTCAAAACATCACCCCAGGAATATAATCTTTAAAAATCTTCTAAAGCCATTAATAGTCAAAGAAATGTTGAAGCATCCTCAGTTAGTGTAAATTTAAGTTTTATTTAATCATGCCCCCCCCCTTTTAATACATTGGGTACGTTTAAACTTTTCAAAACTGAACTATTTCGTGTTTTCCTAGCTAAAGGTGCTCAGGTGAGCGGTGTGGCCCATGGGCCTCTTGTTAAGTATTACACCACTTCTAGAATAGAATGATGTACTTTCACGATTAAACAGGAATGTACCAGCACTTTGTGTGGTGATTGAGCCATGCAATAAAAATAGATCAATATGAAAAAAAGCACTGATGCTGGTCACAGCATTAAAATCGTGTTTGTTCAGTGATCCTTGAATAACTTGACCAAAAAGTTTCAGAGAAAATATGAATCTTATTGCACAAACGGATACTTTTACCACAACGTTATCCCTTTATCCAACTGAGAGATGATATATTGGAAATATTTTTCATACCTCATACTTTATTTTACATCTGTACGACTCGATTTCAATCAATAAAATGGAAAAAAAGTACTTCAATACAAAGGTTCCAGAAGATGCCATTCTGATCGATAGTTTCTACGTATCACAGAATTTCTTTTCCTGATATAAAACGAATACTAGAAGCTTGACTTCCTAATATTCATTCTTTTTACAGGTATTTTTCATTTATTTATTTAATGATTTGTTGTTATTATTGAATCATAACCATTTTTCTTATCTATATGTTTTTTTAATAGATTAACGCAATGATATGTGTCATAGTCATTCCAAAACGAAAGTAAAGGGTACAGAAAGAAATCTTTTAGATTTTCATTTACTGTTAATTTAAGCATTTTTCAACGAAGTCTTTAGCTGTTTATGAGAGTTGATTATTGGCTAATATAATCCATTAAGTCTACACGTCTCAACACCCCGAGGGGGTATTTTATAATATATGTAGGAGGTTCCAAAAATCAGTAACATCTATGTTAGTACATATATCAAAGTAAGAACTACCTCAAGTCTATATCATTACTGATTAGTGTATTATTTAGTGCACGGTTATATTTTAGCCGTAGGTTTCGTGTTTGTTTTGGTAATTGGTAGTTACATATGTATAATGAATTACTTACTTGGTGTATATATTTGAAAAATATGTTGAAAAATGTTTGCTGACTGACAACTTCGGTACATATCAGGGGAGTAGCTAGGGTGTGTTTAATGTGGAAGCAAATCAAGGCAGGGAGTTTGGGGGCCGCCTTATTGCCCCCAGTGGGTCCAAGGCGAAGCCCTGTTGGGGCCCAGGGGGCGAAGCCCCCGGAAGATGGCGAGTTTTAGCATTTCTAACACTTAATTTTGAGTATCCAGAAAAGAGAGTCACATTTAAATAATCCGGGTTTCAACGTTTGAAATGCTTATTTCCTCATCATGAAATTAACGATAAAGAAGAAAAAAGTATTGCCTGAATTATGATGGGATTTAATTTTTGTTTTATTATTATTTTTGTGTGTGTGTGTGAAAATGATGTGGAAGCACTTGCGTACTTGCGCACGCCTAGCTACGCGCCTGCATATTTTCTCTTCTATCTTATCGGTATTAAATAATTCAGACATACAAGACAATTGGCAAAGAAAAATTAAGAGGAAGCATGCTTCATGGTCTGTTCTCGGCAGTACCTATACACTTCTACCACATTTAAAATTCTTTATATTCCCATTTTTGGGAAGAAAACCCCTTTATTTACCCAATTAATTTAACCTCCCAAATGAATTGGCCTTGGGATAAAATAGCCCTCCATTAAAATCTTCTATCCGCCCATGCAATCTAATTAAAAACTCTTAGATCCGTGCCGTTTACACTCTTTGTTCTTAGCCAATCAGCGCCTCTGAAACCGTCAGTGCACAAAGTGTAAACGGCGCGGATCTAAGAAGTATTTTAATTAGATTGTCCGCCCATGTTGATTAACACACACTCTAAACAGCTAAAAGTGACTTCCATCTACAGATCAAAAGCAATAACATTAATTTTATAGTCATTATTTTCAGTTTTAGTCTGCAACTATGGAATCGGAAATCTTGAGACTTAATGTGGGTGGACATATTTATACAACAACAAGGTCTACCCTTGTCAAGTATCCAGATTCAATGCTGGGAGTGATGTTTAAAGGTGATATCCCATCCAAAATGGATCAGGATGGAAACTACTTCATTGACCGAGACGGACAAATGTTCAGATACATACTAAATTTTTGTAGGTCTGGAAAACTCTGTCTGCCGCAACACTTTTCTGATTATGATTTATTGGAAAATGAGGCTGATTTTTACCAAATTCAACCCTTATTAACCAGCATCACTTCTTCACGACAACATGCAATGCAAGAAAACTTGGAAGTCCATTACATAGATATTGTGGAAGTGAAAAATCAGTTATTACCTGTATATGACGATGAAAATGTTTCTTCCGATGATTTTTTTTGTACAAGTACTTCTTTATACGGAAGGAACACAGACCTGAGGACATTGCCTAGAAGAGCTTTTGATCGCTTCTTGGAATCGAGACGTAATCCAGGTTACGGTGAATTAGTAATCAGTGGATATTTTGCAAGAATTCGGATAGGTGAGATGCTGAGCAGCAAAGGATGGATTAAAGAACATTGCGATTTATCATCATCAAATACCAGTGCAGGAAAAGAAGCACGTGAAGTTTTCACTGAACAAAATTATAGGGAACTTTGGAAAAAGTATATAAAAAGTGAATAAATGTGCAAATCATATTACCAGAATGGGCTTTCTTTCAAATAATATACATATTTGTTGTATCTGTAGTGTTCTGCTGACTAATATACGTGTATACATGTAAATCTGTAAATCATTATAACAACTACAGTACCGCTATTTAAGTACAATGACGCATACTGTATGCAGCTGTGTAATTTTTCTGCTAATTAAGAAATAAGGTATCATTTTAAAAGTTTTATCGGGATGTAAATACGGGTTGGTCATGTGATCAAATCCCATAAAGCCCGAAGGGCTTTATGGTAGATTTGATCACATGCCAACCCGTATTTACATCCCGATAAAACTTTTAAAATGATACCTTATTACTTATATTTACATTTGTGACTGATTTATAACAGATAGTAAGGTACTAAAGTTTTAAACCCATAAATGATTTATTTTTTTCAAAACTCAACGGTATAACTTGAATGTGTTGAACACGTCGATCACTTATGACGTCACTATGAAATTACGTAGATCGTTTATGACTAAACAATCAATTTATGGTCACATGACGAACGTGTTTTACACAGGTGTAAAAACGCCTTGTTCAAATAGTGTTATATAAGGGAAAACATTTGCAAATGTAAATATTAAACAATACAATGCGATGCAACACTTATTCATAAAGGATTAATGTAAAGGAATTTAAAAAAAAGGATATTTATTCTTTTTATATTTAGTAAATTCGAGTCAAAGTACCCTAAATAGTCGTCATTTTGTGTCGTGTATATTTATACCCCTACGCAACAAGTTGCATGAGGTATATATAATGTTTTTGACCAGTCCGTCATTCAGTCAGTCCTTTTTTTTTGGTCAGCGCAACTCCTCTTAAACTGCTGCACAGAATTTCGTCAAACTTTGCAGCTATTTAGGACGCAGTGTGTAAATGTGCATATTGTCAGAAAATTCCGATTCCTTTATTTTTCTTGGAATTTCGGTACTTTTCAACTTAGATTTTTGGCCATATCTTGAATAAAGAGATGAACAGTTTGTCAGCGCAACTCCCCTTAAAACGCTGCACAGAATTTCGTCAAACTTTGCAGATATATAGGACACAGTGTGTAAATGTGCATATTGCCAGGAAATTCAGATTCATTCATTTTTCTTGGAATTTCGGCACTTTTCAACTTAGATTTTTGGCCATATCTTGAATATAGAGAAGAACAGTTTGTCAGCGCAACTCCTCTTAAACCGCTGCACAGAATTTCGTCAAACTTTGCAGATATTTAGGACACAGGGTGAAGATGTGCATATTGCCAGGAAATTCCAATTCCATTATATTCCCCTTAGAGTTTTGACTATTATTGAAGAAACTTTCCAGCTAAGTAATAAGGAAATCCACTGGAATCAGCTATTGTAATGAAAATTTTGTGAAATATTTTATGACCTTAAAAGATCCCTATTGATTTTAAGATCAAAATATGAATGATTCAATACACACACAAACACACACAAAATCTTGGATAGAAGTACCCCCCCTCCCCCCCCCCCCCCCCACACACACACCTCAAATTAGTGCTTTGCCTTAAATAATTTTATAAGTACACTGTACTTAGTACAGTATATAACAGGCTTGGGGCAAAATACATTGTAAAGTAATGCATTACATTACCATTACTTCAAGAATTTGGGCATTAAATTACCATTACCATTACTCTAATTTCTTAGAGTAATGCCATACATTACCATTACTTTAGTAAAGTAATGTATTACCATTACCATTACTTTTGGGGGTTTTCAAAAATAGAAATAAAAAACTTGAGCTTTTCATAAATATGCACACCCGTTCAAAACTATACTTGATGAACGTTAATTCAAATTTAACATTCTTAATTAAAAGATATGATATTTAAAACACAGATTTCCAGTACTTGTATTTATTACACAGTAAATAATTTACAAATCTCTTTATTATTCGTAAGAAGTTTAATTTTTTCAATTGCCGATAAGATAAAAACATGTACGATATGCACTTTTTGTGTGATTATTGATGTCTTAAAAAGCAGTTTAACTTTTGGGGCACTTAAACCCCTCCCCAAAACTATCAAATAAATAAGACATCGATTGTTTAGATCTAGTACCTTCTGAAAAAAGAAAATTAAATGCACTGACAAACTTGAAAAAAGGGTTTGACAGTATGTATATTTTGCTCTGCTAAAAGTAGAATGCCTGTCTTCTATTCCTTTTGGATTTGTCATGGTCAGCTCAAACTATAGCAGCTCTTTTATTAAATGTTTTATAAAAACAGTCGGGGGAGAGGGACTGGTTTTTGAGCACTTCTCAAAACAATACATTGTTTTAATTGTTACATAACCTTAGAGGGATTGTGTGTTTTGATGACACTCTGTTCAAAGTTTACAGTGTACATTAATTAGTGTACCTCACACAGGAAAAATTTTTAAAGTAATTTCTTAAAAACTCTTTTACATAATATTATGAAATTAAATATTATCTAAAAGAAGTATGACAAGATGTCTTTGTGAAACACTGATGCCCCCGTATGGCAACTTATAGCAAAGGCTAAACTTTCTCAAATGCAAATCAAATATGTTGTTACCCAAAGTCTTGTCTCGAGGAATATACCTGTGAAATATGAAAGCCCTAGCAGCAAACATTGAATAGATATGGAAAAGGTTAAAGTTTTTCAAAGTAATTCAAACATCAAGGTCAAGGTCAAATGGTCAAAATTAATGGTGCCTATAGGAAAGGCCTTCTCACAAGAAATATACAGGTGAAATATGAAAGCTGAAGCACCAATCGTTCAAAAGCTATGATCAACGTTAAAGTGTTTCAAAAGTAGGTCAAACTCCAAGGTCAAGGTCAATGGATTACAATTGTTGGTATCCAAAGGAAGGACTTGTCACAAGGAAAAAACATGTTAAATATGAAAGCCCTAGCAACAACTTTTCAAAAGTTGTGTCCAAGGTTAAAGTTTTCGAAAGTAGGTCAAAGTCCAAGGTCAAGGTCAGAGGGTCAAAGTTGTTGTTATCCAAAGGAATGTCTTGTCACAAGGATTATATATGTGAAGTATGAAAGCCCTAGCACCAACGGTTCAGAAGTTCTGGCCAAGGTAAAAGTTTTCCAAAAGAAAGTCAAACTCCAAGGTCAACGTCAAATTGTCAAAAGTTACATGTATGACCAAGGTTAAAGGTTTTTTTAAAAGTAGGTCAAACTCCAAGGTCAAGGTCAAAGGGTCAAAGTTGTTGGTATCCAAAGGAAGGTCTTGTCACAAGGATTACATATATGAAGTATGAAAGTCCTAGCACCAACGGTTCAATAGTTATGGCCAAGGTTAAAAATTTTCAAAAGTAGGCCAATCTCGAAGGTCAAGGTCAAAGGGTCAAAGTTGGTATCCAAAGGAAGGTCTTGTCACAAGGATTACATATGCTAAGTAAATGTATGAAAGCCTTAGCACGAACCGTTCAAAAGTTATGACCAATGAGAAAGTTTTTCAAAATTAGGTCAAACTCAAAGGTCAAGGTCAAAAGGTAAAAAATGGTGGTACCCAAAGAAAGGTCTTGCCACGAGGAATACACATGTGAAGTATGAAAGCCCTAGCACCAATCGTTCAAAAGTTATGGCCGAGGTTAAAGTTGGGAAAAAATTTGCAAAACTGGGTCAAACTCCAAGGTCAAGGTCAAACGGTCAAATATGGTGGTACCCAAAGAAAGGTCTTGTCACAAGGAATACACATGTGAAATATGAAAGCCATAGCTCTAACCAATCAACAGTTATGGGCAATGTTAAAGTTTTTGCGGACAGACAAACAGACAGACAGACAGACGGACGGACAGGGCAAAAACTATATACCCCCGAATCTTCGATACGGGGGCATAAAAATTTGTGGTAATTGTACTTTCAACAGAATATAAAGTGTTGTAGTAGATAGTGCAAATAGATACAGAGACTTTATTTAAATAGGTTAACTTTTTATGCCCCCGTATCAAAGATTCGGGGGTATATAGTTTTGCCCTGTCCGTCTGTCTTTCTGTCTGTCTGTTTGTCTGTTTTGTCTGGCTTCCATACTTCACACATGTAATCCTTGTGACAAGACCTTCCTTTGGATACCAACAACTTTGATCCTTTGACCTTGACCTTGGAGTTTGACCTACTTTTGAAAATTTTTAACCTTGGCCATTACTATTGAACCGTTGGTGCTAAGGCTCTCATACTTCACATATGTAATCCTTTTGACAGGACCTACCTATGGATACCAACAATTGTAGTCCATTAACTTTGACCTTGGAGTTTGACCTACTTTTGAAAAACTTAAACCTAGGTCATAACCGATTGGTGCTTCAGCTTTCATATTTCACCAGTATATTTCTCGTGAGAAGGCCCTTCCTTAGCCACCATTAATTTTGACTATTTGACCTTAACTTTAACCTTTTCCATATCTATTCAATGGTTGTTGCTAGGGCTCTCATATTTCACAGGTATATTTCTTGAGACAAGACCTTACTTTGGGTACCAACATATTTGGTTTGCATTTGAGATAGTTTAACCTTTCCTAAAAGTAGCCATACGGGGACACCAGTGTTTCACAAACACATCTTGTTTCATTCATTTCTATCATTTAAAAAATTATTTAATCTAAACAATAATTTCCATTTTAAAATTTTTAAAATAGGTATATATACAAAATAATGCTTTGTAATGCTATGTAATGCCAGCATTACTCTGGATTTATAAAAGTAATGCATTACATTACCATTACAGGTAATGCAAATTTTTGGGCATTACACATTACTAGCATTACTTTGAGTTCAAGTAATGCATTGCAATGCATTACCATTACATTTAGCATTACCCCAAGCCTGGTATATAAATAAATTAATATGACTACATCATAATTTTGTTTCCATCAGTTATTTAAATGTGTAAATTGTCATGTGTTGGGCATGGACTTACACTCATTAACAAATTGAAATCACTGATGAATTTAAATAACAGTTTGTCAGCATACATATGTAACTCCTGCACTGAATTTCCTGAAACTT